ATTTGTCTTTCATGTTTTCATTTACGACATAATTCAACGAACGACTGTCGATGGGAACGACTTACGACAACCAGAATAGGGGTGTTTATATATAATTAGAATCACTTACTCGCAAAGAAATCGCCTTTTTAAATGTTTTATTGCATTGTTTGCATGCGAATACTTCTTTGGGGTGCACATAGAACATGTGACTATAAAGCGCTGGACGGTTCTTATAAGTGCGCCCACATTCCTTACATGTGAGTACCTGCCCTTCGACACTGTGCCGTTTCATATGATGCCGTAAATTCTCTGCATCTTTAAGCCAGCGATCGCAGTCTGGCCTTGGACATTTTATTCGGGGTTCACTATCTCCGATATGTACGCGTAGGTGCTTTTCAAATGCGGCTTTGCTGCGTATCTCTTTGGCACATACATGGCAAACGCGCTTTGCCCGACGATGCTGCATACTAATGTGAATTTTCAACAAGCGGCTGCTAGCGAAACGACTACTTGGACATTGATCGCAAACGAATGCGTGCTCGCTCTTGGGCACATGCGAAGGACGGTGCAATTCTAGCAAATATTTACGCGAGAACTTTTTTGGGCATTGGTCGCAGGCAAAGTTCAGTTCTTCTTCAGGTGCATGCGCGCTAATCATATGAGATCTTAAAGTTGTACTATCGGAAAATACTCTTTGACATTCTTGACACCTAAAAGTGGGAATAATTTTTACGCTGCAAAAATGACGAAACTACGCATGTATGCATATTTAAAATTGAAAGCAGTTGTCATACTTAAAAAAATGAGGATCCTCGTGTTTATACGCGTGCTGCACAACTCTACAACGTTGCGTAAACTTTTTATTACAACAACGTATGTACGCTTTAATGTTAGGATGCTGTAATCGAAAGTGTTTGCTTATTGCAAAGAAATCTTCACCAACAAACGCACATAGATCACAACCCAGGACAATGTGTTTTTTCACAATGGCGGCGTCTTGTGAATTTGATTTGATAACCTTTTGTTTTGGTTTTGCCTGTTCATCATTATCAAATTCATTATCACCGTTATCGTGTTCTGCCGCAGTTTTGAATTCTTTGTCTCCTGGAGGCCTTCCGCGAACACTCTTTCGTTTCTGTCCGACTTTGCCAGTACATGGAGTAATTTCTTCTGAAGAATGATACAATGTTCGTAATATACAAAAACTTATTCAAAAACTCACCTGCCAAGTTTAATTCAACATTTAACTCTTCCTTGACCTTACTTTCTGCCGCACAATCCTCACATTCCGGTACAGCCAAAGGATTAAGTGTTTCCTCAGCTTGCTCGGTCTGAAGTAGATGTTCCAAACACTCTTCTTCCTTTATTTGATACGAACTTTCGACAAACTCTTCATTCTCAACTCGGCTAACTGCTCCGTGCTTCACGTCGGTCCTGTTCAAAAGGAATTGTGCCTTTTCCACTGCTAAATAGAACTGATGGAATTCACTTACTTTCTGCCAACATAAGCGACATATCGCTGTTGAAATGGTGTCAGTCGGAAGGAGCTAGTGCAAATGATAATTAAATCTATGTAAGTGGAGGAATAATTTGTTTGCCCGAAAGTTATTAATTATGTACATAAAACCAAAAATGCCGCTCTAGTATGCCCGCAATCCCCAGTTGTTCTCCATTGGCATCAAATATTTCTAAACAGCATTCCGCTTCTTTCAAGCAAACCCGACATAACATTTTATTAAAAACGAAACTATTACGATGGCCGTTTTGTAGAGGTGGAAAATTATCGACCGTACTACCGATATATCGATGGTTTTTGTTTTACAAAAAGACTATCGACGTTTTAAGACTACCGATGTTATCGGCTGTAATGCAAGATCAATAACCCGGCGTTTACATGAGACACTTTTGCCAAGGCAATATCAACACATTCACACTTTTTCACTACTACACTCACACAAAGACAATTGCCGTCGTTACTGTCTTTTCGAAGACGGTGTTTTGGACTTCTTTTCGGTGATTGAAATGATAAGCAGCGAGATATCCTTAATTTTTCAAAGCGCCTCTAGAAATGTCTTCCGGATAGGGTTTTTTTTTTTCCATACATTGGAATTAAGGATGTAGTATCTAATAGTAAAAGTGTTATATAGTAGAACTAAAATGAATGGTATACTTTTGTTGGCTTAATCTGGTGCTTCCCTTGTGTTAAGGCCACCGTGTCTATTTAAGTGAATCAAAATAAAAAGCATAATTTTCGTGTACTTTGATGAAACGTGGAATAAAATCCAAACTAATAGAGGTGTTTTCCCCATTTTCACCACATTCCTTGGAAATTGATCATTGTTCAATAGGAGATCAAAAAGAAACTCCGATACCCAAAAATCCAGACATGACCTCAGATCTGTATGTGCATCTATTCAAGAGAAGCAGGGTGTACATAACTCCGGCTACGCCATGCACAGTATTTTTGCGCAAAACCCACATCAAAATTCACAAAAAATCCTTTGACTAAACCGTACCCAAGTTTCCCGATAAGGGGCAGCAAACATTCTTTTTTGTTCCTTCATATAAAGCATTGGATAAAAATATAAATATGTACATATGTAGGTATATGAGCCATTCTTTTTTAAGTCTGACGGATTTCGTAAAAATAAATTATATCATGTCTCCGATTCACTTAAAATCTTTTTTGTGGGTTCTATACATGAATCGAGGATTTTTTCCCTCTCTTTTTTCTTCTGAGATATGATCTGTCCAAAGTTTGAATTTTTTCGTGATTCTGACTAATCATGTACTTCTTCAAAACGTTATATCTCGGGTTCTGCTGATCGTAGAGACTTCATCTTAACGTAATTTTAAAGCTAAGAAACGGGCTTAGCATTTCTATATTAAAGGTGGTCAAGATTGTCCTAAAGCTAACTTAGCTATTAACAGTTGAACTTTTTGAAGTTGATTTGCAAAGTGAAGCCCAGTAAATTAGGGATTTAAAATTATACCATCGTAATCCTTGTTTAATTCTCTATAAAAACGTGGTTCAAAGAAATGGGGGGTTTTCAAGAACTATTTGTGAAATATTTTTATTTTCGACGAGATGGTTTAGTTGATGAGAATCAACAATTATTATGTAATTTTTTTTCGAAAACTTATGTTAAGATATATGTATTTGGTAAGGTGTTAAACATCGGGTTTTTGCAAAAAGTAAAATTTTATTGCGCATTCCGACAGAAGACCTTTCCAGGTATAATATTTGTACGGCAAAATTTTTTTTAGGCGACAAACCCCTAAAAGTGGGCGTGGAAATTGTAGGACTAAAGTTTGAAAAACGCAGATTTTATTGCAGATTTCGGCAGAATATCGCTTCGTTAACAATATTTGTTCCATAACTTTCAAAGAACACCATTAATACTTTATCTCGCTTCCGACACAGATATGTTTTCGTACAAAACTACGCAAAAAAGCTGTCAGTTTCCTACTCGCTCGTTTTTAGGCATGCCATTGCTACTGTTTTCACGTAAGAAGTTTCGACTTCAATACATACCATCATGGGCGCAGCCAGGTAGGGGCTGGGGTGCTCGAGCCCCCCCTAACTTTCAAATTTTCCTTATATATATATATAAAATAGTACCCTGAAATGCCAGCTTAATAGGGTCGAGCCTCCCCCCCTCCCCCCCTAAAATTCATTCTGGCTACGCCGATGCATACCATTTATGAGAACCACATATGTATATAGATTTTAGAATTCGTAATTTATTAAAGACATAAATTTAGAGATTTATAATTTTATATGTAATTGTTATTATACATAATAAGATTTCTATTAATATAATTTAAATCACAGCAGTCTTCATATATGCATATGCATACATTATATGTACATATATGTATGTATGTCAATATATGTATATAATTTAAACAACGTATGCGTTTTCTCTTAATTTTTCATTCCACAATCGTTACATGATGGTGTTTAGTTTTCTTTGTAATCTAATGTACACATGTACATTCATACATATGTATGTGTGTATGTAAGTCTGTTTTAAAATAAGCTAGTATGTACTAAATATGTAGTATGTATGGATATACATAGCAGTTTTTATTAGCGCACATTTTTTTGTATAGAAATAGAAAAAACAAACTAACTTAAATCAAATAAAAAATTTAAATTTTAAAAAAGTTTTAAATAAAAACGAACTAACCATCATTAAAACAAACATTTCTTACTTCCATAAGTATGTATGTATGTAAAAGGAGCTCTTGAAAATGGGCACTATTTACGTATGTATGTATGTATGTATGTAATTGGTAAATTGTTTAACTTATGAATACTGCGGTTGACCATAGGCATTAAAATAAGCTTAAACGTTATTTTTTGTATGTGCCTATTTATGCACTTGTAGGGTTGCTTGCCTGCATTGCATGATTTTTTTTTTTTAATGGAGCGGGAGTCTTTCAAGTGCTCGAAACGACTTCGGCTGGCTAAAGAAGTAAAATAGCTAATAAACAACAAAAATAAAACTATATATCAACTAAATAGATAGTATAAGATATTTGCCAATGAATACGGCAATGTTACATTTACTATAAGTAAAAAGTATTAACACAACTATATTTTCATTAAATTAGTGAAATATTTCGCTAAGCTGGAATGCTATATTCATTCTTACTGCTGTTAATATATTGACATACACCTATCTGCACATGCACATACATATGTACATATGCATGTTTGTATGTACATTTGATATTTTTATAAGAGTTTATTTATTTTATGCGTAAGTATGTATATTTTCTACTGTCTTAAATAGTTTCTTAAACCATGCTAGTGCCTTTATGTTACGCCATCATATGCATTTTTTATCGCAATTATGTAATTGAATTAACTTAGTTACAAATACATTAGGGTGCCCATCGAATTTTATTTATTTTTTTAAATTTCAAGACCCTAACCCCTAATTCCCTTCCATTTTATGAGAAATATTATTACATATTTTTATAGATTTTTAAAAGTCATTTAGAGGTCGCGACTTTCATTTTAGGTCAGAAAGCATGGTTTTGTAGATTTATCAGTTTTTGATTGACTAGTTTTCATTCAATTTTAAAGGTCAAACACGTTTTGATAAGAGAATTTATAGGCGTATAATAATCTGTTGTCCTGGATTGTCGAGATATTTCATCCAGCAAATTAAAAAAAAAAAAAAAACATTTTCTCTTATTTTTTTTTTTAAGTTTTGACCATCACTTATTTCCACAATTTCAAAATATGTCGTAATATCAAAATTTAAATCTATTTTCAAATAAACGGATACCCAATTTATTACAATCGCATAAAAATTGTCGATGTTAGGCAACTTTTCTTAAATACGGCTTAGAATTTATGTTGTGTATGTACCGGACTTTCGATTTTTTGAGCAGTGTGGCTAAGAATTTCATCAATGCTTATTCATAATTGATATATGCAATCGCTTTTTAGCAAAAAAGTGGCTTTATATTATATGATATATGCGTATCGCAAAAACTACTTGACCGATCTCGACCAAATCTGGTATACACATTGTGCTTAAACTCCTTAAGTACCGTCTTGAATATTTTTGAGATCGGACAAAACCTACTCCCCCGAAAATATAGCTAGTTAGCTTGAGCTTTTTGATATTACCTTTACGTTGGTGGAGCCAGTGGTTTTTGTACGATTTCAAAAATTTTCAATATGGCGCTTGAAGAGCCTAAGCCAAATGTGTATGACAAATTTAGTCCAGATCGATCAATTCGTTTTTGAGATACGAATAGATCATATACGTGAGCGGTGAACCCATTTTCCTAAAACTTCTTGAAAAACCACTTTTTTGCTAAAAAACGATTGTATATACTTATTTTGATTAAATTTTGATGAATTCCTTAGCCACACTGCTCAAAAAATCTGAAATTCCGGTACATACATAATAAAAATTCAAGGCCGTGTTTAAGAAATTTCGCCTAACTTTGACAATTTTTATGCGATTGCAATAAATGAGCTGTCAGGTTATTTTGAAATAGATTTAATTTTAGATAGTTTTTATATATATTTTGTAATTGTGAAAATTAGTGATGGTCAAAACATAAAAAATTAAGAAAAAACGTTTTTGTTTTTTTAATTTTCCCGATGAAAAATCCCGACAATCCAAGTTTGACAACAGATTATTATACTTCATTTTAAAGGCCTATAAATCTTCTTCTCTCAACATGTTCGATGTTTAAAATTGAATCAAAACTAGTTATTCAAAAACTGATAAATCTACAAACCTGTACCTTTTGACCTAAAATGACAGGTCGCGACCTCTAAATGATTAAAAAAAAATTATAAAAATATGTAATAACGTTTCGCATAAAAAAGAAGGAAATTAAAATAAAAAAAAAGTTGCGATACATACATACATACAAGAAAATGTTTCGGAAAGTGAATAATATTGAATATGTATACTAAATTTTTTTTATCCTACTTATTCCATTTAATACATTCAAGTCCATGGCGCCTTGGTTTTCAAAAAATTGTTAAGTTCTCATGTTAAGTTCTCTCATTCTCTTGAATCATTATTATTTCGACTGCAAAAGTCTGTTTGCAATTTTGAAAAATTTGTACATATGGGAGTACTTGACATTACCGACCACTTGCGGTTTGAAAGTTAATTTCACTTAGGCAAAATGGACTTAAAAGAGTTGAACGAAAAATTAAATACAGTAAGTGGCAAATGAAGGCGTCAAAGTAGGAGTGGAAAATAAAAAAAATAAGTGAGTGACCGCTCTGCTTTAAATGTGCACATTATTTCG